ACGACGACGACAACAACCACAACAACAACGACGACGACGACGACAACAACCACAACAACAACGACGACGATAACAACCACAACAACAACGACGACAACAACCACAACAACAACAACAGTAAATCCATGTAAGTAAAGAGATGTTCTAATCATATATAATATAGTATTCCAAAGATATTTTTTTTTAAATTTTACGAGAAAAACTGAAATCCTGATATGTATTGCAATAGTTTTTAGGAACATCTTTAAATTTGTTTTGAATTCATTTCATATTATATCGATTTTGAAAGCATAAAATTCGAAGAACTCGTTTATTAAGCCTGTGCCTGCAGGGTTCTTTTTAGAAACTTAAATTTTTTTCCTGTTGTATGTGTATGACGTAAGGAAAGAACGAGAAAGAAATGGAAAATATCTGAACATATGCACATCGAAGTGCACTAGTAGAACGCAAAAAAATATAAATGGAATGACGTCACTGTATACTTATATATATATATATATAGTGACTGAACTAGTATCGTATACAGACAAAATAATATCATATAAGGTTACAAGGATATTATTCTATGTATCTACTATTATAGCCATCATTATTAAACGAAAGGAAACAAACGCTGAGACAGAGGAGCAGTTGAATATATCAGCAAGAAGGTGATATTAATATCGATACAATAATGCTAGGACTATGATAAAAAAATATTGAATAATTAATTATTATTTTTATGTCTGTCTATTAATAGGTACATCTGGCGATTTACATTGGAATACGACTGGTATTACTGTGCTTAGTGCAGCAACAGCACCAACAGGAACATTACGAATAGCAACATCTGGTGTATTTATTGACTCAAATGATACTTTATATGCTGTAGATGAGGACAGTAATCATGTTGTATGGCAACTATTGAAAGATGATGTAAATGCAACAGTTGTAGCTGGAACGTTAGGGTCAGCAGGATCGAATAGTACTCAACTTAGTTATCCTAATGATGTTTATGTTGATAAATCTGGAAATATATATGTAACTGATGCCTACGATCATCGAATACAAAAATTTAATAGTGGATCAAACATAGGAAAAACTATCGCTGGCGTAACTAGATCAGCTAGCTCTGCATTAAATAAATTCTATACTCCACGATATTTTACTTTCGATTCAACAGAAACATATATGTATATTGCTGACTTCCTTTGCCATCGAATTATGGGCTATCCAACGAATTCAACTGAGGGTACTAATGGTGTTCTGATAGCAGGTGGAACGGGACAATATAATAAAAACACATCGTTGTACGGACCATGGGGTATTCATTATTTACCATCTATAAGTACTGACCTATTTATAACAAATACGGATGCACATTCAGTCATACGTTGGACTCCTGGTGTTTCAACAGGCAGTTTCGTTGCTGGTGTACCAGGTATATCAGGTTCTGATTCAACTCACTTAAATTCACCGGTGGGAATAAAAATCGATAGTTTTCTGAATATGTATGTGGTTGATAGTGGCAACAACAGGATTCAGTTGTTCTGTGCCAATAGTAATGTTGGTGTTACAATTGCTGGTGATGTTACTGCGGGTAGTGGTGCAACACAAT